GAGCGACCGCTGCTCCGCAACCACCAAGACAACTGAGTAGAGGTGACCAATCAAAAGTACTCACAAATAGCATATGAACAACTTTCAATAAGCACCCCTACCCTGTTTATTTTGGGGACACCCTTGTAACCCTAACCCTAACCCTAACCCTACCTGGCAAGAAGCACAGGGGCATAGCAAAAGTAACCCTAGCAAGTACAAGGCACAAAAAGGCTGAAAAAAGGAGAAGGGGTCCAGCCCGGAATCAAATTGGGGACCTTGGACAGCCTGTTCACCTCCAAAAAATGTCGAAGAAAATTCAATGTTGGAAAAAAGATGGGTCCAACTGAGAATCGAACTCAGGACCTCTGTCATACGGTCTGTGCGCCACCTTCGGCGAATCGCCCTAAGACAGCATAATAAGCCACTATACGATTGGACCCGCTGATGTTTGACCAGCAGCGTGGCGTATATATAGTGTTGAGCTCATGATGGGCCACGCGCTGTGGCCCGCCGGCTCCACATGTTCAGGCAGACGGGGGCGTTCGCCGCTCTCTTGGCTTCTCGCTACGACCATCACCCTCTCTGTCTTCCGCTGTCACATCGACATTCCCCGGCCTGCCCGCCCGCCCGCCGACTCTCCAACGCCGCGCCCATCATGTCGTCGACGCTGCAGCCGATATCCCAAGACACGCAGGAGCAGGTGCTCAAGAACCGGATGGCCATCGACGACCGGGCGCTGCGACGGCTGATCAAGAAGTTTTCCAGCATCCTCTCTTCGTCGGACGCCGAGGCGCTGTCGCTCAACACGGCGTCGTTCCGCGCCGAGGTGACGTCGTACCAGACCTCGCTGCGGCGCCTGCTCTCGATCTCGTCGTCGACGTGTCCCCGCGAAACGAGCGGATACGCCGAGGAGCTCGACGAGATCCTCGCGGCGCAGCGACGCGCGCGCGACGAGATCGACGAGCTCAAGGCCACCCTCGCCTCTGCCAAGCTCGAACGCAAGCAGAAGCTCGACTACGACAACGTCGCCGCGTCCATACAGCACCTGCCGCCGCGCCACCAGCTGGGGGCCAGCCTAGAGACCCTCGGCGCCACCCTCGACGGCATCCGCGAGGAATCGGCCAACGTCGATGCCGTCGCGGGCGAGGCGAGGGGGAGGATGGCAAACGTCGTCGGCCTCCTCGAGAGCTTGGTCAAGGACGTGGGCGACGAGGTCGGGAGGAACGAGAGGAGGGAGGTGCAGAGGGAAGAGGTCGACGGTGAGGCCGACGCCGACGCCGACGCCGAAGAGGCGGAGGGAGAGCCAGAAGCCGAGGCCGAGGCCGAGTCGCGGCGGCGCAGAACCGGCGGCGAGGGCGAGGGAGAAGTTGAGCAGGTCGATATGGACACGACCGACGTCGTCGCCTCGTCGTCTGCCCTCCCGCGCAGCGGAAGCACCACCGCGCTCAACGCAGCAGCAGCCCCCTTCCAACCCGGCCCATCCTCGTCAACGACAACGGGGACGGCGACGGCGGCAGCACTCCCCTCGAAACGTCGATCCAAGCGCGAACCGGCCAGCGACGAAGAGGGGCAGCTCGACGACCTGCCATCCTCGTCGTCGTCATCGACGAACCGCCTCCCCGCAAGCAAAAGGCTCAAACCCGAGTCCAACGTCGTCGACTCGGAGGCCGGAGAAGAGGGCCAGGTCGAGTCGCAGAACACGGCCGCCACCCATACAGCAGCAGACAGCGAGGAGGAGGAAGGCAGCATCCAGCCTGTCGTCCGCAACCAAAGGGCCAGACCACAGAGGGGAGCCAGGCGGTGAGCGAGCGCGTGGATCCGCCACGCCGACGTCGAACTGCACAGCACTGCGCGGCGTAGCTGCCGTCCGTTCGGGTCGAGTCGAGTCGCAGTCGCGCAGTCGAGCCTGGGCAATCTATCTTTTGCATGCATGCTTGCGTGGGTGCGTTTCATCGCATCTCTTCGGCCCTTATATTCTGCTGCGTTCCGGCGGCGGCGGCGCCGGCGGCGCTCGTCGTGTGTGTGCCCCTATGCCACGCCGGGCCGTGCCGTTGCCAAGATTCATCCTGCACAAAGGGCGTCGTCCTCCCTTCTCCTCCCTCCCTCGGCCCGGCGGCTAGACGCGCTCGTAGAAGAGCATGTAGGCCTTGGCCTTGAGCACTTCGTCGATCGAAGCGGCCCGCACGACCGTGTCCGACGTGTACACCCACCTCCTCCCGTCGTCGATCTCGCTGCGATCCGGCCTCGGCTCGGCCCTGGCAGCACCGTTCGACGATGATCCAGCCGTCGATGCCGCCGCGGCCGCCGGATTGGGGCTCCTGGCAGGCTTGAGCGACTCGGCCGAAGAGTTGGGCGCTCCGTTGGCCGTGCCGTTGCCGTTGCCGTTGATGGTGACGAGCGGCGGGCCCTCGGGCGCGCTCTGGATCGAGCCCGTCTGCGACAGGCCGCTGTCCACCGAGCCCATCGACGAGATTGACGT